AACATTTTCGATCTCTGAACATCGACAAGACTTTGTGCGGTAACATCACGGAACTTTACACCTTGCTCTTTGATTTCGTTCACAATAGAGTTGATTTTCTGGTCTTGGGAATGGTTTGAATGTGTCAAATGATAAAAATCATTTAATACGTTTGTTACATTCGATGTTACAATTTTCAGTACGTCAACATTCAAGTCTTTTGCCGCAATGATTTTTTCGAATTCGTCAGACATGATGGAAATTAAGAGGGTTGGTATAAGATGATTCAGAAGTGGAAAAGAATGGAAATTTTATACTGATTTCTTTTATATTCAACAATAACATTCTGTATCGGTATGGTTTAATGTATATACGTTTATACAAATTATTGCATCGAAACCTGTCTTGCTATATTCATATAATTCAAGTTTATGCATAGTCCATAAATGGATAAAATTCTTTACGCCAACTTCAAACACAAATACGAATACAGTAATAAAGCATAAACTTTCTTTAAAACGTACATGTAAAACCCTTTAACTCGATGAGTGATAACACAACTACGCAAAAGAAAAATTTTAAGATAGAATTTGATTTACACAGTATGCTTGTCATGTAATCAGAATTTTGGGGGTCCCACTAAAGATCAAGTGCAAACATAAGAGTTTAACCAATACGATTGCAAACGCAAAATTCAAAACAAGAGAAAATCGTAAATAGTTGGCCTTTTACCACCCAATGCAAAAATTTAGATATGGTTATATTTAAATTTGGTATATTAATCCTAAATCTGCCTTTTATACTGAAAGTTTAGTGATCTGATAGTATTGCAATCCCCAATTTTTTAAAAAATCTGCTGCGGGTAAACTGCAAGTTGTAAACAAGAACAAAAAAATTTACCCAAACTTTATTTATGTTTGGATCAGCGCCCCATTCCATCAAGTTTTGCTTGAGTAAAACAGGCGATTCGTTTTCATTTTTATTAACACATGCGTTTTTCATAGAAAATGCATAGAAAATGAATGGAAAATTATGCATTATGTAATATGAAATAAACTCATCATTTTGTTATTGTTTTGCCACTCTATGCATGCCTTTTTACTACATATACATGTACATGTATCATTGCACACACACTAGTCAATTTACCACATATTTTGCACTGTTTACCACATAAACAACATGAACAAAGCCGGTTTTGCGGTTAGAGCAAATCAATCATTATACGTGCATTATATCGAAGCGAAGTTACCTTAATTTGTGTATGATCATTTCCAATATCGGTTAGCGTTGGTAACTATGGGCATAATGCGTATTAAGCACGCATTGATGATGGTAATAGTCAAATTCCAATCCCAACAATTCATATGCTCGAGAACAAAATCCCTGTATGCATGAAACCCCAAAATCGTGATAATTTTGATATTCCATGCATTTGGGATGCCATATTTAAAAGAATAAAAATTATTATAGTTATTAATTATATTTATAAAATATATTAAGATTCAATATTATTTTTTTAAAAGAATAATTAAAAATATTATAAGCAAATAACTTTGAAGTAAAGTATATAAATCTGGCAAAAATAATATTATAATAAATATACTTTTTTATTTATTATATTTAGCAAATATTATTATAATTATCACTAATTTTATTAATAAAAAAGAGTTAATTTAGAAATATAAAGAAAATAAATATTTTAAAGAAATTTTTAAAATTTTTCTGAATTCTAATAATATCATATTTAAATAATAAGCCAGAACTTATTATTTTAAATTAAAAAATATTTTAATTTATTTAAAGAATACTAATTAAATAATAATTTCAAATGACAAAATTTTAAAAATAAAAATTTTATTTAAATTTTATAACTATAACTTATTAATTACTAGATATATTAGAATTAATAAAACTTATTTATTATTACTAAATAATTCTATTAATTAAAATAAATAAAAATATTTATAAATATATAATTAGTTATAAATTTTATTAATATAATAAAATTAATTATTAATTACTTACTAAATTACTTTAGTTTCTTGTTATATTATAATACAAATAGGAATAAGCTATTATAAATTTTATTATAATATTAAGTTTGAATATAATATAATAATAATATTATTAATAAACTTTTAAAAAGAATATATTTTATATTAATATATATAATAATAATAGCATTAAGTATTATAAAAATTTTTTTGAAGTTATTTTTAAATTATAAAACTTAGTTTTTGTAATTATAACTAATAGAAATATAAAATTTATTAGTAGTTTTGAAAATTATTATTTGAATAACTTAGTACTAAATTAAAAATATTAATAGCTTTTTATTTATAATTAGATAATTAAATAAAAAAATATCAAAAAAATATTAAGAATCTATATAATATATAAATAATATTAATAAAATAAAAATTAATAATAATAAATTAATAATAGCTAAATTTGTCTATAATAATAGTAAATAAGCTTTTTCTTGATATATATAATTCAAATTAAATTATAAATAACTATTTTATATATTAATTATTATTCTTTTAATAAATAATAATATTATAACTTCTTAGGAATATTGGAAAAATAAATTAAAATTGCTAAAAATTTATTATTAAAAGTATAAAACAGATAAATAAAATATATATATTAAAATAAAATTTTTTATTAGAAATAAATTATTTTTTTTTTACTTATAATATTAATAATTCTTTTAATAAATAAAAATTATTAAGAAGCTTATAGTCAAATTTAATTAGATCTTTTAAAATTATTAATAAATTCTCTTTTATCACTTAAAAATTAAATTTATTCTATAATATATTAAAAACATATTTAAATTTTAAATATTAAGCTAAATAAATAAAATATTAAATTAAAAATAAAAAATTTAAATTCTTAAAAAGTTTAACTTTTAAATAAAAAACAAAAAAGAAATTTTATATAATAATTTTTAAAAAAATTTAAATTTAATAAATTTATAATTTTTTATTAATATAAAATTATTAATAAAAAAATATTAAAATAAAAGAAAAATATTTAATATTTTAATATTTAATAATTATTATCTTATAAAATTATTATTATATAATTTATTATAATAAGATAAATTAATTTATAATAATTTTATATAATTTTAATTACTAAGTTTTGAGATATTATATTTAAAAGTTATATTCTTTCTTTGGTTATGTGAAATTTCATTTTTCTATAATTTTATATTTTATCATATTTTGCATTTCCAAGAATATGAATATCAGTAGAGATTCATACAAAACCTAAAATTCTATCAAAATTCACATTTTGTGTTGTACGTAATAATTTACTTATTTGTTTCGAAGCATAGCATGTCCCTTTTTGTAACAATTCATATGTTGTACGTATTAAAACACGAATTATTGTAATAACTTACAATTTGTAGTCTATATAGAAGCCAAATTGCATATAAAGGATAGCTCTCAAAGGTCAGAGAGACGGGTTTAAAGAAAAATAATTAAGAATTATTTTAACTCTTATCTAAGAGCTTCAATTTTTATTTCTTTCTGTCTTAACAAAATTGATAGCTTTATTTCTTTTATACTTAACAAAATCGAAGGCTTTACTGATTTGGCCATACAAAAGTTGATGAACCGTGTTTGATTCTTTGTTACGTTTGGTTCTTTGATTTGATTATTTTGTTGAAACCCATATTATTGTTTTCGGATTCGAATAGATATTATTTAAGTTCTATTAATAAATGTTATGATTATTTGTGTCATCTTTAATTAAAAGTTACAATATATTTGTTAGTAAATAGTTATTAGTTTGTTATTTGAAATTAAATATTATCCTTACTTTACCTTTGTCCATTGAATTTCCAATGGATCTCTTTTGAAAAATTAACAATATTGAATATCTTGTAAAAAGCTTCTTATACTGTAACAAATTTGAACGTTCGAACAACGTGATTCAAAGCAGAATTTCTACAATTTATAAAGTATAAAAACGATTCTTTTTTGTTTTCTAATTACAATTACATGTGTTCCGAAGTATAATAATGGGTTACTTTGGAATGAATTATTCTGGAATAACTAAAAACCCAATTACAGATGAATAATCAACAGTGTGACATACCGTATTTTGCGGAAGAAACATCCTCTTCACCCTCCTTAATGTAAAATACATGATTATATACCCTATTTTATTAATAAATAGAAAGATAATTTTAAATTCCATCATTGTACTGTGGATGCATCATATTTGATGACCAATTAAAATCAATTTTTTATCGAAGCAGCTGATCAAAAACTTGTCACTATTTTTTAAGATTAAAAAAAAAGTGTAAAGAATCAATACGGATGTTGCTTAATGACATGTCGACAGCTTATTTATTAGATCATCTGTGAGAAAATTTTACCAGATGATCAGATGTAAATGATACAAAACAATATAAAAGACAATGACTGTTGTCAAAACTTTTTATTACAGCAATAAACTTTTTAAATCATTCCTTTTTTTTCTTTGATTAAAATCATAATACTTCATGCATTTCTCATTCGTGATAAAGATAAACAAAACATATGCTTATCCATGATGCGATTACCTAAATGAACAAGTTTTTACATAGAATAAGGTATGTTATATATGCAGTGTAGCATCAAAGAGTAAATGACTCGGAGACAGCCGTTTGAAGAGTAGAGGTAACTCAGCGTTTGATGGTGGTGTGGGGGACTAGTTATCTGTGATATTTGATGTGTGGTGGACTGGCTATCTATCATACGTCTTCGTGCGGACTCGAGGTTATCAGAAGATACCCACTGTTGTTGCCTGTTAAAATATGTATATACTTATAGTTATTGTGATAGCTATTAAAATATTCTTTTTATGTCCCACATTAGGGAATCTAAAATCACACAGGTCGAACGGTGTTCTTTTCACTTCGATGTAAAATATGGGTGATATCATGGGTATAATTTAGTGGCAAAAATATACGTAGGTAAGTCATTTTTAAAATTGTTTGCGCTATAACATCTCATGATCTACTGTATGCATATGGTAACGTAAACTAAGATCAGCGATTACATGAAAAAGATAAGGCTATTTTGAAAAGCTATTTAATTTACACCAAGTAAATTGATAACTATAATTTGGGCACACATTATATAAGGTAATTTTATTTATTAAATTTGAGTTAAAAGTGTATTTGCACATGATTGCAGATTACAAATTACACAACTATATTGATATTAAAATTTAACGACCTAAGAAATTTTCCTTAAGTTTATCTTCAGCTTGTTCTTGCTGAGCTCATCTTTAATCTTTACCAGCTGTAATCTGGAGACATCGGCTAACTGGAGGAATATCGTCTGCGCGATACGCTCATTAGGTTCAACATAGTAGGTTCTTTCCGAATTGTTATGCAATAATATTCTGATATTGCCAATGTATCCAGTATCGATCGTTCCCCTTTTACCTCGATCTCTTTTTTCGCTACAGGAACTTCAAAGGCAACATAACGGGACATTGATGTGCTTTAACCGGACCAGCTGTTGTCGTTGTAGAGGAGAGATCTGTTGAAACACCAACTGTTGCTGGATCCGTAACAATAACATCCACAATTCGGTAACAGCAACAATAAACGGCACATTTACCAGATTGGTAAATACATATGCTGGAATGACTTGAGAATACAGATAAAAATTACTTCAGCTATCGAATTCTGTCCTCCGAACACGAGTAGTCGATTCGATCTATCTCTTCTTTTACATCGGATTCGGTGATGTATCTTGCTAAAATTACTTTTCCTATCTCGTTGCATTCATTGTTCAATGTTTATTAAGTTTCCAGTATTACGACTTCTTAATCGTTCCCTTTTATTCTTTCACCGACTTATCAGCACAGCTTATGGTTTGTCGAGAATTGTATGGCTTTCACGATCGATTGGATCTGTGCTAAAAGAGCTTGAGGATCCATTGGTTTGCTTTATGCTGATTCTTGATCCAGAACAACACCAATTGGTCCGTATGTAGGATTGTTGCCGGTTGCTGAGTTTATAGAACAAGTCGATTGTAGTTTACACAATCACTTGGTTGGTAATTGCCGTTATTAGAAGAGTTTTGGCAATAGCGTTGAATGTGGCCATCCTGACCACAACGATAACATGTCAGCTGACTGTTGGAATTTGGTAAATTCGTGGTTCGGCCACTTGTTCTCTGCTGGAAGTTAACTTTATTGTGACTTCGAACTGTTCATCAGCTTGTCAGGTACGATTTATCGCATCAAGGTCGACTATGGTTGTCGTTAGTTGCTGGTGATAGGGCTTGGTTTGCTCTTTCATTCCGGCTTCCTTCGCTTAATTGTTATCATTCTGGTATGTTTTTTGTTGTTGTTAGCATGGTAATTGTTATTGATATAATTGTTTTTCAATATTTGATGAAGATAATTCTTTATCAGGTATTTTCTTTATTCATGTGAGATAAATTGGATAGAGAGGCTCAGGTTTATCTGGACCGGAGAAACCCCCAAGGTTATTTTATTAGAATTCGATGGCTGGAATAGTTTTTTATCTGTATTCCCAAGTCATTCCAGCATTTTTTGTTGTCGTCCTAGTGTGTGTATTTACCAATCTGGTAAATGTGCCGTTTATTGTTGTTGTTACCGTGGTAATTGTTGTGGATGTTACTATCACGGATCCAGCAACGGTTGGTGTTTCAAAGTTTGATACTGTGGACGGTTCTCCATCCCCGGCGGTCGTTCTTCCAGATAAGGGTGGTTCTTCATCTGGAATATCAACCTTCGAGGATGGAGGTGGTGATGACGACAATGTCGAGGTCTCTTTTCCCTCTTCCAATTCCAGCAACCTCCTCTTTAAAAACCGATTCTCCTCCTCTAATTGTTCGGTTTCCTCCAACTTCCTCTTCAACTTTTTATTTTCCTCCACCGTCGTCTCCAATCGACTTTTAGCATCTCATTTTCATTTTCTACTGATGCCAATCGCGCCTTTGTTTCTGCCAGCAAATTTGTTTTGAATTTCGCACTTTGCTCAAAAGCGCGAGCCCGTAGTTCCTCCCTTGCTAACCTTTCTTCTAACGTCTTAATCGAATCCGGGGCTGGTGAAGGTGAAGGAGGAATCGATTCATTAGTTGTGGTTGGATCATTCTCGTAAATGTGGGCTAACGAAGAATTCTGCATAAAGAGATTGTTGATTGACCCTTCTGGCGCGGTTGTCCAGAATTCTTCATCTCTTCGAGTATGCTGAAATTGTCGTTCTTGACGAGGAGAATATGGTGGAGGAATCAATGGATCATTTGTCATCGATCCAGAAGCGTTAGCAGAGCCGGCGGAAACAGCAGGCGATTTCGTAAGATCCATTTCCAGTTCGTCCTCCCACTTGTAAAAATTACAAGTTGTTCCGGCTCCTGCATTATAGCACCTGTAATACCAACGACCTTTATTTCGCATATCCCTCTTGGCCTGAAATTTAATCGCTGGTTTTTTACAGTGACATAAAACCTTATTGGTTGTTGAGGGACTTGCCGCTGACGTGCTTTTAATAGGAGTTTTTGCGTCGGCAGATGACATTTGTGTTTCTTTATAATATCTTGTTAAAGTTCGTAATATCAAAAAAGCGAACAAGTCGAGTTTATTTATAATTCAAACTTGTAATTAAAAATAAAAATGCTAGACGAAGTTAATCGTATTTATAAAGAATTTTTTTCAAGTGCGCAGCATATAACGTCTTATCTCGATAAAGATCGCGAGGTAATTTCTAAACTAAGGAACAATATGACATATGCAAACGATCATCTCTATCCTCCGCAGTTACTAATTTTTTTCCCACCTATATGTGAATTGCCTCACGAAAAATATGTAAGATCTTGATAACTACCGTATTCTCACGGAAATAAGCACCATTTACCTTGACCAAACGATAAATTAACTTTAAATTGAAACTTATCATTATAGTCAAAAAATAGATACTGCGATAAGTGTTTAATTCACAATGTAGTAAATGTAATCGATCGTTGGTCTGTGATGAAGTGTTTCAAATATCATAAACGAATTTGTAACGATAAGCTTTACATTTTAATTACTACTGTAAATACTTAAAAAATAAAAAATTATAAAAAAATAAATGTAATATCAAATACACGACATTGATGATCAGGGTGTCTACGTAAAACCATCTAAAAATAGAGCGTTTACATCATTTGCAAGATACATATGTATCCATGATCACCATTAATAATGATTTTTTCCCAATATGACGTATATAATATAATACCGTTTTGCAAGATATCCATGATTACTATAATTGTCCGGAGCGGAAAAGTTGATTGTCACGTGAGGTCCCGGTCACGCCACGTGACTGATTATAAATAAATAAACCAATTAAAAATTTAACGTTCCGGACTCATCATTTTCTAGTATTAATACTGTGGGAATCCAATATTGACATAAAACATCAAACATGGGACGTATATAATATAATACTTTTTGCAAGAAATAATGATTTTTCCCAACATGACGTATATAATATTAATACTGTGGGAATAATATAAATTCAAATATTGACATAATACATCAAACATAGGATCTCAAAAAATTATTAATCCCATCGCATAATAAATGTATCACGACAAATATTCTCACAAACATACGATTGCGCTCGCTTGTCATCTTGTTCTTGCTCTCGCTTGCACACTCGATCGCCTACTTGCTTTGGTTCACTCGCCGAGGTCGACCTTTTAGATTGATAAGCGGATGCAATATAGTTGATTTAATGTTAGTAAATATAAGATGTATGTATAGTTCTCTATCATACGAATGGTGTTTTCTGAAGAAGTGATTGGTCGTATAGAGGAATAGATTACGTCTATTGATCGGAGTCATCAGAGGGTGTAGTCCGGAATATGTCCAATGGTGATGACGTGGTACTATATGATGGTCGCCGATTCCATTCGATCTTTTGACTAACATCTATGTTTATTTAACCAAAAGAGATAATAGATATCTCACGATATGCTTATTTGGAATTATCAGTAGATGGAGTTCTCTATTGAAGTGGTTGCTAAGAAACCGAATATCAATATGCAATGTGAATTGTGGAATATCGTCTTTCGAATTCGGGCACAGTAATACTATTCTCAACACGCGTAATAACACTTGTGTTTTATTGAATTTTTTTAAAAAAATATACCTAACAAAGTAAAACCTGTGTGATTCGTTATTGTCATACTTTGAAAGTCTGTATCGTGTTTCGGAACACTTTTGAGATAATGAACCGTAAAAAATTTATTAGTAAAAAATAAAAAAAATTTAAGATATTTAACCTATTTCGGAATAGCTGTGCTTTCATATTGTTGTACTTCAGAATGTTGTGCTTCAACGGAAGTTTCTTCGCGTATTGTTGCTTCAGACGTTAATTGCTTCGCGTGTTTAGACGGTAGTTACTTGTGGCTTAGACGGTAGTTACTTGTGGCTTGGACGGTAGATGCTTAGGAAATTTGTGCTTTTGACGGTAGTTGCTTTACGTATTACTGTACTTCAGAAAGGAAAAAAATTCCTTGTGATTGTTGATGATTCACTTCATCAATCGTAGACGATTACCATTAGGCACTTCGAGAACGATGCAACAATCAAAATTAATAATGATAACTTTCACGGCAAATAATAATAATGTTTCACGCCTCATAGTATCTGACACCAAGTAATTGCAGTCATCGCAACCATCTACCTGTGACCATCGTTATCAGGATAATTACACGACCCATTTGACCATTGAAATAAATTTATGACCAATAATTAACATCTGACACTTCAAGATTTCCAAATCAAAATAATTACATGTAATTAGATGTTTAACCTTTATCGATCGCATAATTGAATACTTCACATCCGCTATTTTTGCCAAGACCAAGATCAATACCTAACACCATTGTTGCATACTTCTTTTAATTTTTGTTTATTACACCTTTCGAGGTTTGAGCTAATTAAGAAACATATCACCTTGGGTGATCTTTAGAATTCTAGATCGGTCTCCCGGGATATTCATATCCTTATTCTCTCTAATACCCTTCCATCGCTATTATTCATATTGTCTTTGAATTTATTATTTAGAAATGAATAGATATAGTAACGATTTGATTTGTTTATAAAAGTAGGATATTAGGCTTCGGAAGTAATATGCTCTAATCAAATAAATAAAAATCTTCTTACCTGTAACAGTTCCTTACTCGTAAATAAACTATATTTCTACTATTTGGTTCATTTCAAACTTTACATACAAGTGATCTTTATATCTTTTTTGGTTGGCATTATATAGGACCAGTGCAATATCATGGATATTGCACTATGGATATTGCTTTGTGCTATATTGTAGTAACTGCTTTGTGAATTAACTCAAGTCATTGTAGTTTTCATAAAAACTAACACACGTTATTTCGGGATTTCGTTCTCGGGATACGTTCTTTCAGAATAACGTTCATTTGAGATGCTGTCTGTGCTTAAATCCTCTTCGCTTATTTGAGCCAATAATTAATTTTGAGAGTAGCCGGATTATAATAGCTACGGACATGGGATTTAGTTTATCCGGGATGTTGTTCGTTCGAGATGCCGTTATTTCGGGATGACGCTTTTTCGGGATTTGGGAGGTCGATCATTGGATCGTTTGTTAGGGTTTATGAACTAATGGGATTGTGTTTGGATTCGTACCAGATCCGTAATGGTTAGAAAATGGTAAGGATGATACAGTAGTAAAAAACACCTATATATTATTTAAAACCTTCGAGTACGTGTAGGGTTATAATGCAGGGATTTTACACCTGTTATCCATCGTAATTGATAATGGGCAACAGGGATTTTCCCTGTATTATTGCAATTGAATTGGGTATTTTTTCGCAGGGCATGTTCATATATCAGTATTGACACATTTCTAAAGTAAACTCACGCTTGTGGTGAATGTTTATATTGTCAAATAAATTGTTAATTCAAAAAATGAGTACTACAGAAATTTCTCACGTACGGATTTGTAAATTTTGAATGGTCTGGCTGAGCGGAAATAAAGACATCGATATCGATGAAATTGTAGGAAATAATTTTTTCATATATCTCTTTTGAAAGTTTTACCGATGTCGCATATCACTGCAAAAGGAGGCTTTGGAAAAATCCTTAAAGTGAGAATCTGGTAGACGGAATCATTAAATAAACTTTCTAAATGGGATCGTGAAAATGATAAATTTAAACGAGATGGAGGAGAAAATTGTGTTGAAATCATCACAAAATTCAAATTACTCACGGTTTTTAAACGGTATATTTTTATCTTTTGTTTTCTAATAAACTCAAGCTTTTAAAAATATATAAATAGATTCTCATTGCAACCGATTTCATAAGAATTTTCTGTTTCAATTATTCCGTGCGTGCGCTTCTTTTGATCTTCATTTATATTCAATATTTTAGCTAACATTGCTTCTTTATAATTTGTGTAATAGATTATTCTATAATATGAGCCAAAAATGTAATTAACGAATACGCAAAGAATCAGTGAAGTGCTCTAATTTTATTATTATCTAAATTGTGTACAAACTGTTCTTGTGATTTACCTTTACTGTTACATCTATCCCATCTATTGGGTTTCACACTAAGGAGATTAGACTGAAGTTTCTTCGATGTAAGAAGGTTTCTTTAACTAGATTTCTAAGGGAATGATACCAGTAATTAAGGTTACTGTCGATGTTAAGGTGAGTGTTTAATATAATATGGGAGAATGATATGAAAAGTTCAAAAAAAAGGGATTATGTATTTTTAACTATAGAGTTTTTTAAGTTGACGAGAAAAGTTTCCCCAAGTCACGAGACAGAATATCGATCGAAATTCCTAACACGATTGACTTATTACTATCTACAAGGAGAATCAAATAACGAAATAATGGCTTTCTTCTGGTAAAAGCGACAAAACCCGAAGACGATAATACAAGTAAGAAGTAAGCTGTTTTAATTATTTTAAATTTTATTATAACTTGACTTGTTTTTATTAAGGCTCAAGAGCACGTCTATATATACATTGATTTTTGGTCTATTTTTGGAGAAATGAGCTAAAAACTATACCAAAGACTATTCTATTCTTATGAAATGGTCTAAATACTGTTCCGAATGATCAGAATACTGTATACTGTATCAAATGGACCAAACAATGACCAAAATGTTCCAAAATAATTAATCGTGTTAGGGTTAGGGTTATTAAATGTACTTAAAAAAGAGAAGGTCTTCATCAAATAAAAGTTCCACTTATCATTATAATATAAAAAAATAAATTGTTTGCGACTGTTCTAATTGTTGCCAAATAGCTTAACATTAATTTGAACATCGTTTCTTTTGGTATATTTAATAATTATTATAATTATTTTTTATCTAAGTTTTATTCTTTTCTTATTTCTCGTTGAATCTCCAAATGTTATTATACGTGAGGTTAACGGTAAATAATATTTAGAATCTGATCCAGAAAAAATGCTTGATGAGCACAGCGCACCGACACAAAATGGTTAAAATATATGTTATTCAGCTTTTACTCCGTTCTTTGCAATCGAACATAACACTCGAAATTACAGATTCCGTTATAGATACCAAATGGTTTATTATTGTTACGCATTTGATATTTTTACTATCTAAATATAATATAACGAATAGATATGAATAATTCCCTATTACATGTACATGAGCATAATTGATCCATATGGAAAACAAAAAAGTGATAAATATACAATAATCACAAAGAATTGAAATCACTTTGGTTCAGCAGCTAAAGTTAATATCTAAATATGCAATTTTTCTTAAATCACTCGGATTATTTTCATTATCTTAGATCTCATGTGGTATACTAATATCGAAATCTGTAATTATCACCAAAGAAAAAAAATTAATAAAATAAGAATTTATCTTCATTTGGAACATACAAACTAACACTTGTAGAACTTATATATTTTTTATCATACTCTAGGGATGTTTTTTGTGAATCATCTTCTTATGAAATTTATTTGATCCCGACATTCTTCAATAATAAAGTTGCCCATCCGGGAATAGTATTTGGGCATCGTCGGTTGTACTCCTTTAAAGATGTTTGATATGAGATCTCTATTATAGTCATCGTTCACCTGGTAGAACCTTATACATAACCATTCCAATTTTTTAAATATCTGCTTCGATTATGGCTTTATAAGAAAGCACTCCACAAATTTTGTGGTTAGATTTTTCTATATTTGTTGGGAACGGTAGTCCAAAATCAGCAATTTGATGTGCATTACGAATTAATAATATATTATCAGGATGAAAGTCACTATTCACTCTCTTCTCTTATGGCTATGATTAATAACAATTTTGAAAAACAGGAACCACTGCTCTCAAAAATTCGAGATGTTTCGAAACAGCTTTACACACCAAGTTCGAACATCTCAGTAGATGAAACGATGATATGATTTTCTGGATGAAGCATCCATATCATTTGAATAAAAAATAAATCAACCCCAGAGGGCTTTAAGATTTTATCTCTTTGTGAATCAGGTACACATCTCGTGTCTCGCGAGTGATGTAATAGGAGTGAATGGCCTTAATCAAATTGGGTGCTACTTCTATATCAGTAATTTTTTATATAATATTTTACATGGACAATTATTTCTAATGTCCCTCTTTTCCCGTATCTTTAGCAATTGGCATTTGTGCTTGCAGAACCATCTGAAAACAGTTTTCAGATTTTCAAAAAATCAAAGGTGGATAAAAATGTCAAACTTGATTGGGTTATTCGTTCTGGTATTATAATAAATGGAGTATTGACCATTTTTTGCAAGATAATGGACTGATATCATATTACCAATAATTCATGATCTTCTTGGTGAAGAATGGGAGGTAGAGTGAGAAAAATGACAGCCAAGAGAAATAAGCGCAAATGCAGCAAAGATATGACTTATTTCAAATATTCTTTTATTTTTTAACTTGTTAATTGATTTTTAAATTTCCATTAGCTGCTTTAAAGATGCGTGCTCTGAATCAAAAAAAGTTATCGTTATTAATTTTCAGATAATCAATGATTACAATCACATGAATGGCTACTGAATATAGCAATCATCGATGCCTATCGAATTGCCTGAACATTAAAATTGGCACAAAAGTAAAAAGAATTTCACCATAGACTTGTTTGGGATCTTATCAATATTGTGAACAATACAAGGAAAGTTCAACTGAGAAGTGGCTCAAAATAGAAATAAGAGAAAAAATGAAGAAAGAGACTAAATGGCCAAAAGTGATATAAAATTTTAAACTTTCAAATCAACGGTTAGTATCTGAGAATAATTTCGCAAATGATGAGAGCGATGAGAAGCATGCCAATAATATACTTAGTTGACAAAAAACTTGATCATATCAAAGTTAGCTTTGGTGTATAGTGTGCAATGTACCTCTCTGTTATAATAACAATTGTTAATCAGTTTGTCAATTTCTATAAAATAATTTTTTTTGTTAATTTGTACATATAACTAAGAGAATTTCACTCTTATTTGAATTTTTATTTCTCCAACATTCATTTATTACTTTATTGATGCAAGTTAGTCTTTATAATTTAACTAACATCAGGAAATTTTTTGGGATGATTTGTATCAATTTTTATTTTTAGTTATATATTAATATATATCAGAGTTATCAATACATATCAAAATAGATATTTGATATATATTAATATATATTGGAGTTGTTAATATATATTATTTAATGATATAGATTATTAAATATTATTATTTAATAATATAGATCATTAAATATTATTGTTTAATAGTGTAAATTTGTTAAATATTATTATTTAATAGTATAGATCATTAAATATCATTATTTAATAGTATAGATCATTAAATATCATTATTTAATAATATAAATTTGTTAAATCAACTTATTTTATT